ATTTTTAGTGTAAGTAGGGGAGATGGGTCCCAGGGAACCAAGAGAATCATTCAATGACAGACACATGTACCAATGTCCAGGAGGTTGTGGGTGTCCCCATGAGCCAATCTAGACCACAAAGTGGTACAGGGCACTTGCTTGAATTCCCATGTGACTGAGGCCCTAGGAGGTCACAGGTGTTTGCCATGCATCATGCTAGGTCTCCCCAGAACTGGACATCTCCAGGCTCAACTGAGGTGGCCCCCACTGCCAGCTGGGGGACCAGATGTCTCACGGACAAGAATTTCCCTACCTTACTGGTTTACCATTTGTGATGCCCGATTATAATACATAGAATACCTGGATACAGTCCCTGCAACCAGGCATCTACATGACTGCACCTCTCTTTTTCAGCATAGAAAGTTTGTTGAAGGACAATCTGAAGGAGTATGAAAATGCATAAAGCCTGGAGGGATAGGGACTCTTAACGTGGCCCTAGAAACAGAACGTTTTATAAACAGAAAACCAGATTAGAAAATAAATCACGGTAGCCACTAAGTGGCAGTCAGGTATTTGCAGAGCAACAGCAAACGTCCTGAGTCTGAAATGCGGCCAGAAATATGTGACGCTAAGCAGCAGAGTGGCCTGAATATTGAGGGCAACCCACATGGTTCGTATAATTACGAATAGTACAGAAGTAGCAGCCAAAAGGAGAGCGCTACTTATATTCACATAAAGAATCAAAGCGATTTAACAACTTTTCTCCACAACTTCAATGAAACAACACTGGAAAATCAGTGATACGCAAGCAGGTAGTCTGGGACTGGTGAAAGGAAACGAAAGTCTGTACAGCAGGCAAAACTCTACCTGTGTCGCGGCACCAGAAATGCTGACAGCCGCTGTGAGAACTCGGTTCTTGTTTTCTTAGTGCAAGAATTTAACCAAGCGACACACGGCAGAGGAGATGCAGCACAGAACAATTTATTGCAATGGAAAAATAATATTTTCAAATTTAAGTGTAGAAAAGGGAATACACCCTGAGACAGAGAGAATTCAGGGTGGACTGCTTGAAAGCATGAGACAGTACTGGATAATACTGGGGAAATTCCCTTTACGGGAGCCTTGTATGAATATTCATAAGGAGGTGGGGAAAGGTGTAGCTAGCAGGCATGTTCAGGGTGGTCCTCTGGGTGCACGTTTGCAGTAGCTGTCCATGCTCGTTCATACATCACAGGTCTCATTAGCATCTTAACTGTCCACCCGGGATGTGTTTTTGACTATTATAATGAGCAAAGGGTCAGTGTGAGGACAGGTGAAATCGAAACACAGAGGAAATTCCCGAATGAAGATAGCCTTACCTGAATGCGCTTCACTACAGTGGGGATGCTGAGCCTTATTGGTGTTGATTGTATATGCTCACCACGACTGCTATGTCCCAAGGATGTGGTCGCTTCCTTGACTCCCTATCCTGTCTCACTGTGTTTAGGTTATCATACCTTTGTATATAAAAGAATTTACCTCATGAAAGATCGCAAGAAATTATCGAAAGTCCACATGCTTTAAATTTCTAAACTTAGGCGAACTTACAGGTGTGTATAATGTTGTTACAGCTAACCATAGGCCATCATGGGTCTTACTGGTCGTAAAAATTCAAAACGAATATTTAATGTTTCTGGGAAATCGTGCTAAATCTCGTGAGAACCAAACAAGCAAACCGTGTATTCTCCCTTCTTGATTGTACACCAGATGTAACCAATTCTGAATGAATGTTTCAGACGATTAAGCATATTTACATTAACAACCATGTTATAACAATAGAAGAATTTTTTTAACTTCATTGAAATGAAAAGAGTTGGGTAGAGTCTAGTTTATAAAATGATTAACAAATTAGAATATTCTAATGGCATAAAAGTACTCAGAGCTAGGGATATGATAAGAGAGCACTTACAGCAGGTGTATCAAGAGTACATACCTGCCGGAATTTATGCAGAAGTAATTATGCCAAATATGAGACTCACTGGGCTCATTTTTTGCATGATTTCAATGAGTATAGGGAAATTCGTGTGTCTGTTCCTAATAATGCATTAAAGTATTTCTGGAAAATATATATTTATGTGAAGATATACTGGGCATCAAGATAACAGGCAATCGAGACACTAGAAACTAACTAATGATGCTTATCAACTATTAAAACACAAAACATGAAATGACATAAAACATTATGCCAAGCACCAAGGGGCTTGTCACATGTAGATTACAAAATTTCGTGGAACTTTTTTTGTTTAATAATGTTTTCTGCCAAGTAGAAGCAGTTAATAAAGCTCTATAATTTTTTTAAAACATAAGGAGGCCAGGTGCAGTGACTCAAGCCTGTAATCCAAGCATTTTAGGAGGCTGAGGTGGGTGGATCGCTTGAACCCAGGAGTTCAAGACCAGCCTGGACGACATGATACGATGCTGTATCTAAGAAAATTTATAAACATTAGCTACGTGTGCTGGTGCACACATGTAGTCCCAGCTAATAGAGTGCATGAGATGGGAGGATCACTTGAGCCCAAGAGGTCAAGGGTACAGTGAGCTGTGATTGTGCCATGGCACTCCAACCTGGGCAACAGATCAAGACCCTGTCTCAAAAAAAACCCCCAATAACCACACATACAAGAAAGCAAAGCTACATTTGTTTATAGCAAGTGGAAGAAAGAATCTTTGAAAGTATGTTTCATGGAGGTGAAAGTTTCACAAGATAAAAGAATGCATTTCCTTGATTTGAAAACATTGGGAACAGAAAAGTAGAGAAGTTAGAAATGTCCAAATCACCAGCTAAGAATATAGATCTTACTTCAGATTATTTTGGGAAAACTACAATTCAAACAGAAAGTAAGATGTTTACAGATGTCCTAATTTCATAGTAATAATGGAGATATGACAAGGTAAACAGTGTTTGGAATCTTTACATGGAGAAATATTACTTCCTATGAATACATCTGATCTACAAAAGAAGCCACTGATGTAACTTGTAAATATTTGGTTGATAGGTCTTGTAGATTTTCACCTACAATAATTAGTTTGAAGCAGAACCTAGTATCAATACTTTGTAACACATCAACATCAGGTTTGGATCTTGTAAAACTGAGTCACTAATCTCCCATTGCACAGTCTTATCCAAATTTAGCCCTAAAATTTTTATTAAACAATACCATTCACAGTGGCATCCTGCAAAAGGACTTTCGGTAAGCTGAGGTTGAAAAAAAATCACCTCAGATCATCATTTTGTCAAGAGAAATTGTCACACATGGCAATTCTTCTCACTGAAAACGAGATCAACAAAGTAGTAAATTTTCAAAGTATGATGAGTTTGCTTCTATTAGAGCCAGAAAGTAAGATGTTAATAAATTCTATTTGGAGCATAAATAAAAATTCCAATTTAAAATAATGTTTCAGATGGGCCCAGTGTCTCACGCCTATAATCTCAGCACTATGAGAGGCCCAGACAGGCGGATCCCTTGAGTCCAGGAATTCAAGACCAGCCTGGGCAATGTGGCAAAACCATCCCTACAAAATATACAAAAACTAGCCACGCATGGTGGTGTACACCTGTAGTCTCAGCTACTTGGGAAGCTGAAGTAGGAGGATTGCTCAAACCCATGAGGTTGAGGCTGCAGTGAGCCATATTGTGCCACTACACTGCAGCCTGAGTGACAGAGCAAGACCCTGTCTCAATATATACATATATATATATGTATATATATATATATATACACACACACACATTCATACATATATATATATATACATCATATATATATATAATGTATGTATATATATATATATATATATATATGAGAGAGAGAGAGAGACGGAGAGAGAGAGAGAGAGAGACAGAAAGAGAGACAGAGGGTATTTCAATATCTCTGCGACAACTTTAATGCCCTGGAAACACTAATTGTTTAAAAAATTATGAAAACATGTTCATCGAGGTGCACATTTCCCCTGTGCTTCGGGCTCCAGTGTGACTCCGCACAGCACGAAGTGGGGGCAGGGGAGTACGGCTCTCCACATCCAGGCATGGTGAGCGACTCTTCCTGGAATATAAAAAGGAGAGAAATGGAAGAAGGTAGGGGTGGCTCTGAAAGCAGAGGTTTTCCCAGACCATCTCAGATGACATCTCACTGTCAACAGCTGTGTCAGAGGACCACCCACACTGCAAAGGGTCTAAAATGGAAAACGGTTTTTAAAAGTATGCCCAAAACAAAATCAGTGCTCCAATAGAGAGGAAGAAAGTGGAATGGGTAGTGTGCAGTTAGGTAGCAATGCCTGCCCACGAATGAGACGCTGAACCATGAAATGGATAGACTGACGGCCAGTTGTAGTGCTGTGATGAAAATAAGGGGCTGAACTCACTGAGGGTCTTACTTTAGACTGGATGACAAAATGGTCGCTCCGAGGGAGTGGTATTTAAGGAGAAATAGAAAAGATGACCAGGCATCGTGGCTCACGCCTGTCATCCCAGCACTTTGCAAGGCCAAGGCAGGTGGAGTGCTTGAAACAAGGAGTTCAAGACCAGCCTAAGCAACAGCAAGACTACATCTCTATAAAAAATGTTTAAATAAAATAAAGAAAAATGGACAAAATGAGAAAGACTGATTTGGGCAGAGGAAAGAACAACTGCAAAGGCCCCGCAGAAGACACATCCCTGTCATGTTTGAGGAACAGCAAAGAGGTCAGAGTGGCTTCAGCACAGGGATGGATGGGACAGGAACAGGTAGGTGTCCCCACGTGTGGTTGGGAATATGCAGCAGAGGCCTCACTATGCAAAGCTCTTTTAACGGCACTTTCTGTGATTGCCTCATCACTCCTTCTTGGCTGAAAGGTCTAAGATTATGGTTTGGGTTTTTGTTTTTTGGCCTCCATCCACAATATCCATCCTGCCCATCACGGACTTGAGACAGCCAAGGCAGAAGCCCATGATTCCTCCAGGTCCTCCAGAAGCCTCAGCTTGGGACTGTTTTTTCTGCCAACCTGCTAGCTGATGCACAGGGGATGAGGCCTCAGCCCGCACTCACAGCATTCCCTAAAGCACTTCTCTTTTGACTGGGTTTGGGACTGCGCTTCTGCTCAGTTTCCTTGACCAGTGCCTCTGGACCTTGTAAAATCTGGGGTCCACCAAACCTTTCATGTATTTTTCTAAATTCTGGAATTTCTATAACCTTGCAAATATTATTCCACTGGAGGCCCAAACCTGCTCATTGTGTCTCCTTTTTCTTACCTGTTTCTTAAAGAGATTGGCCAGGGAGAACCACCTGGACTGTACTCTTCCAGTAAGCTTGCTTGTTGGGATCTCAGCTGTCCGCTTAAGAAACACAATATTGAGGACCTAGGACCTGCCATCAAACTCTGGCCTTGTAGATGACAGATTCCCGTGTCCCCTGGGCACTGGCCCATCCTAAATCCTTCTTTCCAGTTCAGAAAAAAACCCACAGTGGTTTTCTGACTTCTGATGCAGGCACTACCACTTTGGGTTCAAACACAGGTTTGCAGAGCCCACTGCTGGCTGCATAACAGACACTGTGAAAAGGCAAACATCTATACACCCCTTTTTACATTTCTTGGGCATCACGTTTACTAATCTCCCTCACAAGTCTTGCAGAGCACTTGGAACTTTCTCGCATGGAAAGATCTCTGCATACATAATTTTACATTCTGTAACAACTTGTTCAGAAACGTCTTCATTCTGGCTCTGAGACGAATGCATTCCATACACTGGACATCCCCCTTGTGAACGTCAGCTTTAAGCAGAACATCAGGAATATTCGTGGACCTGCTACACATCTGCGGGCAAAACCTTGTGGGAACCATGCTTTTCCACTTTCGGAGGAGACCTACTTTAAAGCAAAAGCTCTTTTGAGAATCATCAGGTTGTATTTGGCATGGGAGTAGGGGAAGGGGGATTAGGCCACACGTTAGTGTCATCCCCCCTCACCAAGGCTCCTAAAAGCATCGGCTGGCTCCAGTGTTCCTGTCTTATTGTCCTCAGCCGTCAAGATTGGACTTGACCATCTACCGACACTGGGACTTGGTCTCAGTCTCCCCATCTCCTTTGGCCTGAACTTCCTCACCAGTAAAGTGGGGTGAGCAAATTCTACTGCGTGGATTCCTCAGCAGGAGTAAAAGAGGTGAGACATTCCAAGTATCTGTACTATGCCTGGGGATAGTTGGCACTCCGAAAATTTGTGGGCTAACGATGAGGGCAAAGATGAGTGACACTGGCTGGGCTCCACAAGGGCAGGCAACTTTGCTCTATAGGCTGTTCTGCTGATCCTCAGATCCTGGCCTGCAGGCTACCACAGATGATGAATAAATGAAAGAGATGTCAGATCTGGAGTGGAAAGAAAGTCACTCTTTCTAGACAAAAGGGAAGGGTCTATAGAATCGTATAAAAACAGGAATGTTTGATGATGGAGTAGGGATAGAATGTTCAGTTCTAATAGCCACCTCTGTTTTCTCAAAGCTTGAGGTAGAAAGGAGCCAGGTTAAGGAGGGCTCACCTAATCTGGCTTCCTGCTGTGTATGGCATGGCATCGATAGGAAAATTATAAACATAATATCAAGTTAGAATTGTAAAAGGCAGCAAGATAATACAAAATAATGTGTACAAGAAACCTGTGAATGTTTGTTCTACTGTCCTACTTGTTTACTGCATGTACTCATTGTGCCAAGAGGTAAAAAGGTAGTTTCATTGTATGATCTCACTTGACCTCTGATGGCAAGATCTGGGATTTCCACGTGGTATATGCTTCTGTTTGATGATACAAATAATTCCCTAGAAACTGATTTGTGTATAGCTGTCCCTCTGGCGTTGTATGGGGAAAAAAAATCTATGTTGCAGCTCAATCACTTCATTTAGTTTCCAGATGCTAGTGTCATTCACAATGTCTGTGAAGAGAAGATGGAAAACGGCCAGTCACAACCTGATGACACCTTGTCAACTGTTCCATTAGGACTTATTAATTGGGCAGAAGCTGGTGTGTCATCCATGAGTACCAGATATCTGTGTATGTTAGTTTATTAGTTGCACTCTCCTGCTTGGTTTCCATATGTACGCATACTGTAATGAAGGGAAAAAGGTGTTCTGTTTTATTATCTATTGTGAGCTCCATTTGAGGGTTTTCAGATGGCCACCTGGCATATCCTCCAGTTTCATGGGACGATTTCCTAGAAACTGAGCATCAGTGGGATATACAAGTGGGGTTGTCATAATGCACTTACCTCACAGCTCAACCTCTTCCTTTGAACAGAGGATGGAAACCCGCTAACCCCAAAATGATAACGTCTTATCAACTGGTCCACCATGGCTTGGTGATATGGTGGCAGCTGGAGTTTCATCCACGAGGACCAGGATCTGTGTATGTCTGCTTCTTAGTTGTTCCGTCCTACTTGGTTTCCATAAGCAGGCACATTTTCATGAAGGGTAGAAGGTTGGTTTGTTGTATAGTTTTTCTAGCCTCAATTTGAGGGGTATCAAATGGCTGCCTGGCATATGCTCTCCTGCATTCTTGGGTAATTTTACAGAAACTGACCATCAGAAGGATATGCCTGTGGGGTTGACATAATGCACTTAACTCACAGTTCAACCTCTTCATTTGGTTTCCACATTCTATCATGAATCACAATGTCCGTGAAGAGCAGAGGAAGAATGGCCAAACACAAATGGAGAAGGTCTCGTGAAATGTTCTATCAGGGCTTAAGAGTACGGCAGGAGCTGGCATCCCAGCGATGATTACCAGGCATCTGTGTGTGTTTTTTCATTAGTTGCCGTGTCCTCCTTGGTTTCCATATGCATGTGTAGTATCATGAAGGGAATAAGGTGATTTTGTTGAATTATCTTTCCTGGTCCCAATTTGGGGGGGATTTAGATCATTATATGGTGTATTCTCCTGCTTTATGGGATAATTTCCTAGAAACTGAGTATCAGTGGGATATACAAGTGGGGTTGACATAAAATGCACTTACCTCACAGCTCAACCTCTTCCTTTGGTTTCCAGATGCTATCATCAATCACCTCCAGACTTCCTTAGGTGCACCCTTCCATCTTATAAACAGTAACCGTGCATCATGATTATGGTGGTTGAGATAGAGGTTATCCATGGTCTTGGTAATATCAACTTTCATTTCCCAGGTCCATGTCAGTACAGCCACTGCTCACTATTCAATCTGCCAGCAGCAGAGACCAACACTGAGTACCCAACATGAAACCATGTCCCAGAGTGGTCTGTCCGCTTCCAGATAGCACTGTGATTTCTTGAATCTGCTTCCACAATTGAAGGGTCATCACTTTGATTTGCTCAAATGGACACTTATTCTGGATATGGATTTTCATTCTCACCTATGGTACTTCAAGAAAACAAACATTGTGGTATTAGGAAACGCTGTGTCCACCATCGTGGTATCCCACACTGTACCAGTTTTAAACAGGAATCTCACTTTACAGCAAATGAAGTATGGCAATAGGCCTATGGTAGCCAATTAGACTAGTCTCGTGATGTACTTCACCATCCTGAAGTGGCTGGCTCAATTGAACCGTGGAATGATCTTCTAAAGCCTGACTTGTAGTTCCAGCTTTGTGGTAGTGCCTTAAGGGTCTTGGCTAACAGTCTAGGAGGTGGCAATGCTGTATCCCAGCATCAAGTATATGGAGCTATTTTTCTATAGCCACATCTATGTCTTCAAGAATGAAAGAGGCAAGATGAGGGCCTCCTCTCACTATTACTTCTGGGTATCTAGTAGTAAAATTTTGCTTTTTGCAAACATTTGGCTCTGCTGGACTAGAGATCTTAGTTACAAATTGAGAGATTTGTTTTTAATAGCGGATCCAAAAATCATTCCATTGAAATGAAAGTTGGGTCTGCAAGCTGATCCCTTTGGAAAGTTCATTCTCAAACAAGAGACAAAGAAGGGGGTCCGCTACAGGCTGGGGTGACGGAAAATGACAATCAAAGGGAGATGGAGTTCCTACTACACCAGAGGCTAAGAAAGAGCATGTCTTATATGTCTAGAGAGCTTCTTAGTCCTCCTGTGTTTTGCGATTAGAGTTAATGGAAATTAGAGCAAATGAAAGTTGTGTCTGCAAACTGACCGCTTTGAACTATACATTCCTCTCAACCAAGAGACAAAGTAGGGGGCCTGCTACTGGCTTGGGTGATGGAAAGAAAAATGAATATTGGGTTCCTACTACACCAGGGGCTAAGGAACAGTATGTCCGATATGTCTAGAGAGCTTCTTAGTACTCCCATGTTTTATGATTAGAGTTAATGAAAACTTACAGCAACCCCATCTAGGCAGGACATCTAATGGTTCAGACTGTTCAGTAATGAAGGTTTGAGTCATTCTGCCAGACCAAGCACCATGAGCAGCTGACATGCTTTCGCCAGGGCAAAGGGAAAGAGAAATGGGTAGTGAAAGAAGGCAGTTATAAATACCAGTTACAACAAATGTTGGCTGCTGCAGAAACCACCGCTGTAATAGTATTTACTTGATGGGTCAATAATGTCTGCCAGCACAGGTGGGAAAATCAACAAACCAACAAATAAGTTATCCTTGCAAATGAAATGCTTAGGGAAAAAGACCAATGTTTACTGACAGAAATTTCTTAGCCTCTGGGAGGCCATTTTATTCACTAACACATGCTAGGAGGCTTCAGCCATATCCTACTCTATTGTAAAAAACAGCAATTTGATTCTCTTTCCACCTCAATCATTAAAGAGATTATGCATTTAGGGTCTGATGTTCCTTCTTGGACAAGTAGCCAGACGTCATTTCTTCCAGTTTCTTCTCAAGGTGTGGAATTAAGTCTCCTCTCATATACCTGAAAAGAAAGAGACGTGTCTTTAACCAAAAGAGAGCCAAAGAACCTATGCTGTAGGAAGCACTGTGGGAGATAGAAGGATGAAGTAACAGTCAGCATGGAGACAGAAATGCACCTGCATGGTAAGGGGTAGTCTAGCCAGGCAATAACAAATGCTGGCGAGGGTGTGAAGAAAAGGGAAGCTTCATACACTCTTGTTGAGAATATAATTTACTATGACAACTATGAAGAACAGTTTGGAGGTTCCTCGAAAACCTGAAAATGGAGCAATCATATGATCCAGTAATCCCACTGCTGGGTATAATCCCAGGAGAAAGGAAGTCAGTACACCGCAGAGATATCTGCACTCCCGTGTTGGTTGCTGCACCGTCCACAGTAGCCAAGCTTTGGAAGCAACCTAAGTGTCCACCAACAGCTGAATGGGTAAGGAAAACGCGGTACATATACACAAAGGAGTGCTGTTCGGCCATAGAAAAGAATGAGATTCAGTCTTGTGCAACAACATGGATGGAACTGAAGGTCATTACGTTAAGTGGAATAAGCCAGGCACAAAAAGACAAACTTCACATGTTCTCACTTAATTTGTGGGAGCAAAAATTTTAAACTGAACTAATGGAGATAGAGAGTAGAACGGAGGACTGCCAGAGGCTGGGAAGGTTAGTGGGGTGGGCAGAACTACAGATGGTTAATACATACAAACTATCTGATAGCATGACAGGGTGACTACAGCCAGTAATAATTTAATTGTACATTAAAAATAACAAGAGTATAATTGGATTATCTGTAACACAGAAAAATAAATGCTTGACGTGTTAGATGCCCCATTTACCTCGATGTGTTTATTACACATTGTTGTCTGTATCACAATGTCTCATATGACCCAGAAATATATGCATCTGCTATGTACCTACACACATTTCTTAAAAAGAGGTAATTAGCAAATACAAAGAGTGTCAATTGAGGGACAATGTCTACCTCCGACTATGGTAAGAATTGAATTCTCCATAGGCTTAAAAGAATGAGTTAGATTCAGACGACATTAACCTAAGTAATTGTGGAGACAGACGTAAGTATAAGTGAGGGCCAAGGTTTGAGAAATTCAAGGCACAGGCCGTTCCCCCATGCTCACCGCCAGTACTGTGTTGGACCCGAGTGCTTAAAGAAATTGGACAGTTCCTATCTCTACCTACCTTGCTGCTTCCTTGATGTTGGATTCAAAAAATTGTTTTTTGATTTCTATAGGTCCTTGCACTCCTTCAAGCAATTTGAAGATTTTTTCATATTCTGAAGATGTTTAAAAAAATCTTCAGTATTATCAAATACAAAGAAGAATAGAAGTGAATCTTGCTTAACCTATACCTCACTAATCCTGTTTCATGGGCTAAAATGTTTTAAATGCTTAAATCAAGATACCTGCACATACAAAATCTAAAAAATAAAAAAAGACACCTGCACCTACCTATGAATGAAAGTCTTGGAAACCATAACCCGGTGAGAAAAGAGAAAGAAAATGTGTACTGTGCTTTAGTCCAAAGACGAATTACCATAAATTATGGGTAAACTCAACTCTGGCAAGGAGTTAGCCTCAACAGACAACATGCATATCTTCTGAATTAAAGAAAGGGAGACTTCCTCAATTTTTTTAAAACAGACATTCTTATACTACTTACTTTGTCCAAAGCATTGAATTTCCTTCACTAACTGGTATTTTATATCAGCACTAATTTCTTCTCGGCTTTTTAGAAAAGGGAGTATTTCTCTGCATTTTAGGTCATCTGCAGAGAAATTGCTGGTAATGATTCTTTCTACAAGTGCATTTCTACCAGGTTTCTGCACCAGCCCATCTTTGCTGATGCCAGTGAAGTCATCAATCCGAGGATCCAGTTGGCTGGCTGGAATACCAACTCCTACCTTAAGCTCTGGTGGAACAAATTTTGACAAAAAGCCATCAGTTGGAGTTTCACCATGTTCTTTCCCCTCCACATAGACATCATGAACGACAGATCTGGAAACCGAACTGAGAAGTTGAGCTGTGGGAAATGTGTCTTTTATCACCCCTCTGGGTATATCTATGTGCTCCTCAGTTTCTAGGGAATTATTTATTTCATAGATGGGAGGTATACCAGGGGGAAATCCCAGGCCTGATGAATTGAGGCCAGGACACATAAAACAATAAAACCATTTCTTAGTTTCTGGCTCTATAAATACATATGGAAACCAAGTAAGACAGTATAACTCTAACAAACATTCACAGGTCCCTGGTACTCATCTGTTAGTGTCAGCTTGTTATGCTTTATAAGTTGAAAGCAGCAAGTTTCACTTGATATCATGATTTTTCAGGTTCACATACAAACTGCCACGCTTTACTCAGCTGGAAGCCGGAAAACTTGGATACACCTCAACCTGTCTCCTCTCTATGTCAAATATATTCTGAGAAAATATAGGCAGCTGTTAATGCTGAAAGTTCTATACCCACTCATCACCTAAAATCCCGTTTAGCATATGATCTTCCTCTTTCATCTTTCTGCCTCAGAAAAGTGACTTTCCTTCCACTCCAGGTCTGTCACCTCTTTCATTTCTTCATTCTCTGTGGCAGGCAGCATGCCAGGATCTAGGGATCAGTAGTAAACAGCCCAGAGAGCAACGTTCTCTGCCCTTGTGGAGTTCACACTCTCAAGGGGCAGTCAGACAGTACATACGTAATGAGGAAATGAAAGAAAGCAGCGTTAGGCAGGTGGTGGGGAAGACATCCACAGGCCTGTGGGAGACAGCAGCAGAGGGAGCCCCAGGAGCTGCCACTGGTTGGGCAGGGCCTTCTCAGGAGGTGCCCTTGGGCAGGGATTGGAGGAAGAAGTGGGGCTACCTGTGCAGAGGCAGAGGGGGATTTCCAGGCTGCAATGAGTCTAAGGGTATGGGCTGTAGTGAGGATGGACCGGGCACTATGGAGTGAAGGAGATAAGCAGAGAGAGCCAGGAGATGAATAGGACCCGTGTTAGTAGAGGGTGAAGAAGGCCTCGCAGACCAAAGCTGGTTTACGGTCTGTTCTGAGTGCTTAGGAGAGTTGGGGATGGATTTTCAGGAGTGATGTGGCATGATGTCATTTACCTGCCAACACGATGACCTGGCTGCAGGGTTGGAGGGTGTGCGTTAGATGGGGGCAATAATGGGAGACATGGAGATAGCACAGTAGCTCAGTGACTCATCATGGCAAAGTGGAATAGAAGGAGAGAGAAATGCTGGGATTCAAGGAATATTTACAGTGTTTAGAGAAGAGAAGAAAAAGAAAGGTAGAAAAAACGAATGATAGTGGCCGGAAGTGGTGGCTCATGCCTGTAATCCCAGCACTTTGGGATCATCTGAGGAGAGGAGTTCGAGACAAGTTTTGCCAACATGGTGAGACCGCATATCTACCAAAAATACAAAAATTTCCTGAGAATGCTGGCAGGTGCCTGTAATCTCAGCTACTCGGGAGGCTGAGGCAGGAGAATTACTTGAACTGGGAGACAGAATTTGCAGTGAGCCAAGATTGAAATACTGCACTCCAGCCTTGCTGACAAGACTGAAACTCTGTCTCAAAAAAAAAGAAAAGAAAAAGAAAACAGGGGCTCACTAGTAAGGATAAGAAAATTTTAAAAGTACACATTGTGGAAAATGGAAATCCTAGAAGGTTTCCATGAAGGAGCAAGTGAACAACTGTCAAATGCTGTTGTAAAATTTATGGGAATGCAAGCCAAAACTGTTGACCTTGACAAGGACAGGAGGGTAAGAGGCAGGAGGCCAGCTGCACTGGATACAGCACGAAAAGGAGGCGAGGACAGGCTGACTTACCCTTTTCCGTAGACATGGCAGAGCGTCCAATACCACCGTCTCCTGCTCCTTCTGTCCGTGCCGACAGGGCCATCTTCTGCCTTTTCTGATATGAAGGACTGTCAGATTCCCTGGGACGTTCAAACACATTTTCAGGTTCTACAGCCACCTTCTCTCCTTTATGGGTCATGGTTTCCTGAAATATATCAATGAACGCCTCCCACTCATGACAAAAATCTAACAACCACCAAATGGCAAACAGTCTGCATATGTGTATCCAACCAAGAATGTGAACCATTAATTTGACGTTTAATCATGAGCCAAAATTTACCAAGCCCCAAGAAACACTCTGTTCTCATGAAAAGAAACCTATTTTTAATGCATGCTAAGTTAAAAAGAAGGAAGATAGTTTAATCAAAATCAATGAGAATGATTGCAGAAAAGGCAGCGACCATCAACCAAATGTAGATTAAACTATTATTAACTCTTTGAAGATTATGAATCAATTTGTATCAACCGTTGTTAGAAAAAGGGATTCCTTTTCTTTGTCCTCATTTTAGGAGATTGATACAAACCTGGTAACAACATCTGACAAGGACTTTAGAAAAAAAGTAAATGACAAGATCAAGCCAAAACTACAAGCCAAGATCACCCTGAATTTAAACACAAGAATTCTAAACAAAAGTTTAGCGAACAAAATGCAAGAATACTTAAAAACAACGTACATCAACCATTGTCAAACATATTGCAGAAAGGCGAGATTGATTTCACATTTGAAAATCAATAAATGTAATGTACCACATTAACAAAAAGTAAAAAAAAAAAACAGGGAAACACCACAGGATTATTTTCATAGATGGGTCAATGTTTAACATTTATTCATGACAAAAACCATCAGTAACTTAGAAAAGAAAGCAACTCTCTAATGGTGGTAAGCATATGCACACACACAAAAAATCATGGTAAATACCATACTTAATAGTGACATATCAGTATTTTCTCCCTGAGTTTGGAAACACGACAAAAATATCAACTATCCATTCAGCAATTTACTGGAGAATCTAAGAAGTGCAGTGGCATCAGGAAGACATAATAGGTTTAAAAACTGGAAAGAAATGAAACTGTTATTATTCACATACAACACTGTTCTGTACATAGACAATGTAAAAGAATAAAATCATTAGGGTTAATAAACAAACTTAGTCAAGTTACTAGATATAATAAAAACCACTGGTATTTCTTTATAACTAATAGAAACAAATAGTTAGAATATGAAATTTCAAATGTCATTAAAAACAGCACCAGAAACATCAAATACTTAGGAATAAATCTAATGAAGATGTGCTGGAGCACTACACAATAATTATAAAACATCACTGAGAGAAATTCAAGGCTGCAGTAAATGGAAGAAATATTCTTTACATGGAATGAAAGACATTATTAAGAGATGTTACTGTTAATTCTCCCTGAATGATCATGCCAATCTTCCTTAAAATTCCACCATGAAAAATAAATTTTCCAAAAACTGACGAGCTGATAGTTTTTTAAAAAGTATATGGGAATTGCCAGCGCGGTGGCTCAAGCCTGTAATCCCAGCACTTTGGGAGGCTGAGGCAGGCTGATCACGACATCAAGAGACTGAGACCATACTGACCAACATAGTGAAACCCCGTCTCTACTAAAAACAGAAAAATTAGTTGGGCATGCTGGCTCATGCCTGTAGTCCCAGCTACTCTGGAGGCTGTGGCAGGAGAAGCACTTGAACTGAGGAGGCAGAGGTTGCAGTGAATCAGGATCGTGCCACTGCAGTCCAGCCTGTGTGACAGAGTGAGACGCTGTCTAAAAAAATAAAAAAGAAAAAAGTATATGGGAATTAAAGACTGGGAAAAGCCAAGACAATCTGTAAGAAGAAGAACTAATTTGGTAGATATACGCTACTATATATGAGATTTACTGTAAGGGTAGAGTAATTAAAACAGTGTAGTATTGGAGCAATGACAGACAAATACACCAAAGGAAGAGGACACAGAGTCTGGAAACACAAAAGAGCGAGATTTACCACAAAAGAGATTCTGTAAATCATTGTGGAAAGGGCTGTGTTTTAATAAATGCACTTTATAAATGCAGGGAAAATATAAACCTTGACTCTTATCTCATCCGCTCCAAAAACCATTATTAAAGATGGAGAGACAATCTAGTAAAACACTTGAGATATTATCTTCAGAACTATAGAATAGGCAAAGATGTTTCTAATGAGGATACAAAAGCACTAACCATAAAGAATGAATTGTTTAATTTGACATAATTAAATGGAAATTTTCTGTTCCTCCAAAGACACTACTAAGACAGTGAAAAAGCAAAGTATATTTGTAGATTACATATCACAGATTAGATTGTATAGGTTATATGTAAAAATATATATTAACCACACTCACACAAGCACACACACATATATATACGTATGTATGTATGTATGTATGACAAAAAACAAGTGGAATGCACAACATATCCAGAACTACACTTCAATTTTTAAGAAACAAACATCCCAATAAAACTTGAGGGGGAGCTGAATACACACTTCATGACTGTCACACTTAAATATGACTCTAATAAACACGTAAAACACACCCAGACTCTGGCTTTACTCCATTCAACGAGAATTTATTTGAGATGAATTTGAGACCTAGAAGAAAACAGAATATAATCGTCATGGCATTGGGCAAGGCAAAGATTTTTCTTAAAATGATAAAAAGCAGTAGCCATAAATAATACACTGAGTAATAAAATTAAGAGTCTGTTCATCAAAAACACTTTATCGAGACAGTGTAAAAGCAAAACAGATTTATAGAAGACATTAAAATTACATGTGTATTTTATCTATGTACATATATGCCTGTGTGTATGTGCGTATAACTGAAATCCGGAATATATGTAAATCCATTTTTAAAGTAAAAACATCTCAGTAAAATTTGGGGGTAGAGGCTTGAAAAGGAACCTCCTAAAGGGCACAGTTAAATGACAATAAATACATAAAAACGTGCTCCCAAACCATTAATAAACAGCTGGGATTGGTGGCTCATACCTGTAATCCCAGCATCTTGGGAGGCTGAGGCAGGTGAATCGCTTAAGCCAGAAGTTCGAGACCAGCCAGGGCAACTTGGCAAAACCCCTCTCTGCGTAAAAAAATTACAAAAATTAGCCGGGCTTGCCGGTGCATGCTTGTAGTCCCAGGTACTCCAGAGGTTGAGGCACAAGAATTGCTCGAGCCCGGGAGGTGGAAGTGCTGCTGTATCCACCCTGGGAGGCAGAGGGAGACCCCATTTCAAAACAAAAACAAGTATCAATCAATAAATAAACAGTAAATAAATTAATTAATTAAAACAATTTTTTAAAAGATGTGCTCAATCTCAATCGGCAGAGAAATTCAAGTGCAGACATAAGGAGAGACCACTGCACACCCATCAGAGCAACTGGAATGAAAGATTAACTGTACAGCGAGTGTGTGAATGTGGCACAGCTGGAATCTTCGAATATTTCTGTACACCGACTCCCACACAGACACCCCAGGCTGTAGCTGAAAGGTCAGATAGTATGCCGGGGAAGAGCTCCTTCAGAACTGAGATCAACCAATGGAGGAAAAGCACCCCAATCCGGGGCGGGACAGAGCTCCCAGGGTCAGGTGGCCTCCCTCATGGCCGACACAGAGCTCCCCGTGTCCCACCGTAGGCTTAGAGAATCCAAGGAACAAGCACCCCACTCCCCCGCAGCACCGGGAGACAGCACCCAGAGATAATTAAAAAAACCAGCACCAAGGGAAAGCATTTGGTAAGCATCCCCATCCGGGACGAGCAGAACCCAAGAAAGGCCAACACATCTTATCTGAGCATGAGCAACATCCAAAGACAAATGCACCCCACAGAGGACATCAGCGCTCGAAGAAGAGTCCCTCGCGGGCTGAGATAAAGCCCACGACAGTGACCCCACAGAGAGGTGATAGTGCGTCTGGGGCACAGACACCCCCACCCCGGCCCATGAGCACGGGCAGAGTCCACAAGGCAGAGTCTCCCCTCAGGGCTGCGACTGAGCGGGGAAGACACACCCCTAAACCCGAGGCTGACACAGGCAACCAAGGCAGGATCCCTACGTCCTGGTTCAGGTGACTTCAGCAGAAAAAGTCGCTCGCATCACCTAGAGAGAGCCCCCGAGAAAACCCCCCAGTCCCACAACATAGCTGAGACTGGGTGCCGAAGTAAAATGTTCCCCCACGGCCAACACAGGCTCCCACGGCGGTGTCCTCAGAGCGGGAACACATAGCCCAGTGATCCGTACCACACACCCGACGGAGAGCACCCCAGAAAAGAGGCTTTCCTAGGACAAAGGAGCCTTTCCGGGGTGAAATGAAAGCATTCAGGGAAAAACTGCTCCACTCACAGTCCTGAAGCCCTGACCTTGCCAGAGAAGCGGAAGCGTCACATCACAAAATGGCAGTGAAACTGTTGTGGCTCCTCCCCCCCGGTTGAGCTTTCTAGCAAAGTGCCCTCTGAGAACTGTGGGAAATGTGCCCCCTAGGGCACCTGGGAGTGATGTGCATGGGTCGCGACTCACCAGAAGCACAGATCCCGTAGTGACCAAGGCAGACGGAAGGAAGGGAAGCTGCCGGCCACTGGGAACCTGTTGGGGGCACCAGAGTCCAGAGGAGAAGCCTCGAACCCAGCAGGACCAAGCGCGCCAGCCCAGACAGACCGAGGAAGAGGAGCGCTCCCCTTCGCTGACTCTGGCGCCCTCTAAAGGCGGCCTTCTGTATCAACTGCACCGCGCACATAGGCAGAGGAACGCAGAACCTTCTCACTCTGCGGGATAAAAGGGTGAATTTGGAGCTGACAGGCATATATATCTTGTGATATATTTATCCGGCTTTGATAACGGAGTAATACTGGCCTCACAGAATGAGGTAGTGTTTCTTCCCGCGTTATTTTCTAGAAGACATCGCTAAGTGTTGGTATTATTTCTTCCTTAAATGTTTGGTAGAATTTGCAAGCGAAGCCACCTTGGCTTGGCTTGTATTTGTGGGGAGTTTTTAAATGACTAATTAAATCCCTTTTCATGCTATAGTCCTATTTCAGTAATTTGTCTTCAAGGAATTTTTCCATTTTGTCCAAGTTAATTTTTGGCAGAATGTTGTTCAGAATGTATTCCTTTTGATTTCTATAAGGTCAGTATTAATACTTCTACTCTTGATTTTCAGAATCTGTATAGTTTTTTTGTTTTTTCTTGGTCAGTCAAGCTAAATGGTTGTTGTTTTTTTTTTTTCACCTTTTCAGTGAACCAACATTTGACTTCATTCTTTGTTGTTTTTTTGTGGTTGTTGATTTTCTTCTACTTTAATTTTCATCATTCCCCTTCTTCTACTTGCTTGTATTAAATATATCAATTTAAAACTTCAGGGATAACAAATGACTTGTTTCATAAAACAGGCTTTTAAACCTTAGACATGTAGAAATGCTTATGCTATTGCAAGTAGTAATTGAGGCCAGGAAAGTTAATACAACACAACCAC